CCTAAAAAGATCGTCCAAACTTAAACAACACAAACCTCCAAAATTAACCATTAATCAATCCTAAATAACTACCTCACACTTCTATTCAATAAAGTTCAAGCCTCATGCTAATACCAGTATGAAAAATTTCTTGGCACAAAGCCATTGAACCATAGTTGTCACTCAAAACTGATAATTCTAAAAGCCCAGACACAATCATACACACACCACAGTACACTCCGCAGCTAAAAGAAAAAAAAAAGAAAATTCAATTTCTAGATAGACAAAACTGAAATGTTCACGGAGCCCTCCCTCTATTAAGAATCTAACCTCTCTAATCAACAACCTCAAGCTCAGAAATTTCAGCTATTTATCAAACTATTCTTTAATGAAGTACATGCGGGAAGAACAAACCTCACAATTGCCTACGCGCCTGAGCAGGAGGAGAAGGGAGACAAGGCTACAAAAAGAGCAGGCTCGAGCATTTAGCAACAAGCTTGAGCAACAAAGCCATACCCACACTCAGTCGAAGGATACCCCATATTTTAAATTGGCAGTTATAAATGGAAGGGCGAGACGTGTGAGGGCAGAGGAGATTGGTGATGTTGGAAGAATGTGTGGGTGCTTGAAGAGCCAGGGTAGTCGACTAGAATGAGAGATAGAAATAGGTGAGGCGACGTCAGGTTTACCATGAGGACAAGACGAAGGTGAACGGTAGTGGTGAGGCGAGATATAGAACAAGAAAGAAATAGTTCGTGGGGTCAAGGTTCACGGTGTAGCACACGACGAGGGAAACGAAGGACATCGGTGTTCAAAGGGAAGGAGGTGAAGGGAGAATAGGCAGATGCAGAATGAGGACAAAAAGCTGTGTTCTGTCTTGCAGTTGAATGAAACTATAGATTAGGGCTATTTCAGGCAAAAATGCCATTGCGCCGTGGCGGTCCACAAAGAATGGCCATATGAGCTATGGTGCGAACGCACTGCGCCGCGGCTCTTGGTACAGAGAATGGATTCTGGGGGATATATATGCGTCGTGGTAGGATGACAATGCGCCCTGATGGTGGGTACAGAGAGCATCATTCCTTCGAGAAAGATTGATGCACTGCAGTGTACTATTTGTGAGCCGTGGTGCATGATACAGAGGGCACAACAGATTCAGAAATATCATCAGTATCAGAAAATATTTTTTTCTTTATGAATCCAGATTTCACCAAAACACACTTTTAACTAAAAATGATACAAGATGGCCATCAATAACCATCACAATCATTCAAAAGCAATCCAAGTCCATCAAATTGATAATTAACTAATGAGTCATACTCAAATTAGCCTAGAATCATGCAAAAATTAAAATTTAACAACATTAAAAATTCATATGCCCAAGAACCACAATGTCATCCCAGAAACAAGAAATCATGACATCAAGCAATTTCAACGTCCTTTTTAACATAGAAAATAAGTTTCAATCAACATAATAAAAGCTTAATTCAAGTTCAACTTCCCTGAAAAATGCTTAATTCCTATCAGACTTCTTGATTTCCCTTCTTCTACCCTTGACATATGCTTTTCTTTATTGGAAGATCTTTCACCACCTACAAAACATAAGACCAAACATAAATCTACTAAAAACACACAAAGATCAAACTAAACACACAAAGTAAGGTTAAGAGCTTGGGTTGCCTCCCAAGAGCCCTTGATTTATAGTCTTTCAGCCTGACTTTTCATTTCCTCAAGTTGCATTAGATAATTGGATGGTGGATGCTTGATGATCAACTTCACCGCCCCAATAGTGCTTCAACCGTTGACCATTCACCTTACATTTTTCACTATCTTGGCCTTCCAATTCAACCACACCATTGGTGAATGCCTAAACCACCACAAAGGGATCCGACCATCTAGATTTCAACTTTCTAGGAAATAACCTCAACTTTGAATTAAAGATTAAGACTTGTTGTCTGGCTTCAAATTTCCTTAGGATGATCTTCTTGTCATGCAGCCTCTTTGTTTTCTCTTTGTAGATCTTTGAACTCTCATAGGCTTGCATCCGGAATTCTTTAAGTTTATTTAATTACAGAAGCCTTTTTTTACCACTAGCCTTGAAGTCAAAATTTAGCTTTTTCACAGTCCAATAGGCCTTATGCTCCAATTTTACTGGAAAATAACAAGCTTTCCTGAATACCAATCAATAAGGAGACATGCCAATGGGGGTTTTATATGCCTTGCGATAGGCCCACAAGGCATCATCTAGCTTCAGTGACCAATCCCTCCTAGTCTCTCCCACAGTCTTCTCTAGGATAGACTTGATCTCTCTGTTCAAAATTTTCACTTGGCCGTTAGATTGTAGGTGATAAGCTAATGCTACCTTGTGTTTCACACCATACTTCTTCAATAGAACTTGAAATTGATTGTTACAAAAATGAGTTCCTCCATTACTCACAATAGCTCTTGGGGCTCTAAATCTCGTGAAAATATATTTCTTTAAGAATTTCAACATGGTTTGGGCATCATTTTTCACACAAGCAGCAGCTTCCACCCATTTAAAGACATAATCAATAGCCACCAAGATATATTCATTGCTAAATGATTTAGGAAATGGTCCCATGAAGTCTATTCCCCATACATCAAAGAGTTCTACCTCTATCATGTTATTGAGAGGCATCTCATTCCTCCTAGAAATGTTACAAATTCTTTAATAGCGGTCACATTAGAGTACAAAAGCATAAGCATCCTTAAACAAGGTTTGCCAATAAAAACCACTTTGAAGAATCTTGTGTGCAGTCTTCTCTCCTCCAAAATGTCCTCCATACTCCAAAGAGTGACAGCTATGGAGTATATCATGTTGCTCACACTCCAGCACACATCGCCTTATCAATTGATCATAACATTATCGAAATAGATGAGGCTCATCCTACACATAATGCCTTACCTCAGATAGGAACTTCTTCTTTTGATGGGGTTTGAGATCATGAGGAAGAGCATGGCACACCAAGTAATTTACAAAATCAGCAACCAAGGTGCCTCATTGTACTTCACCGTAAAAAGTTGCTCATCCAAGAATTCTTCATTAATTTTTCCATTAGCTTCTTGTTGAGCATTAGTACTCAACCGTGACAAATGATCTACTACTTGATTTTTAGTTCCCTTCTGGTCAACAATCCCTAAATCAAATTCTTGTAGCAATAACACCCATCAAATTAGACAAGCCTTTGAGTCCTTCTTGCTAAAAAGATACTTTAAAGTCGAATGATCCATATATATAGTTACTTTAGTACCCATAATCTATGCCCGAAATTTTTCACATGTAAAAACCACTGTAAGCAAGTCTTTCTCTGTAGTGGTATAATTAAGTTGAGCACCATCAAGCGTCTGACTAGCATAGTAGATGGGATGTAATACCTTATCTTTCTTTTACCCAAGCACTGCACCAACCGCATAGTCACTTGCATCACACATGATGTTAAAAGGTACACTCTAATCCGGAGCTATAAGAATCGGCACAGAGATAAGTCTCTTTTTTAGCTCTTCAAAGGCTTCCAAGCATTTCTCATCAAACTTGAACTCAACTTCCTTCTCTAGTAAATTGCACAATGGCTTGGCTATTTTTGAGAAATCCTTAATAAACCGGCAATAAAATCCCACATGTTCAAGAAAACTTCTAATTCCCTTGACATTTGATGGTGGAAGTAGTTTTTCAATCATTGATATCTTGGCTTTATCCACTTCAAGACCCTTCTTTGACAGCCAGTGACTGAGAACAATGCCTTCTTGCACCATAAAATGGCATTTTTCCTAATTCAATATTAAATTGGTCTCCTCACATCTTTACAAGACCGCTTCCAAGTTGTCCAAACACACATCAAATGAAGAATTGAAGACAGAAAAATCATCCATGAATACCTTAATGGTCCTCTCAATCATGTCAAAAAAATGGACATCATACAGTGTTGAAATGTCGCTAGAGTGTTGCACAAACCAAAGGGCATGCGCTTAAATGCAAAGGTCCCATATGGGCAGGTGAAAGTGGTCTTCTCTTGATCCTCCAGAGTAATGGCAATTTGATTATAGCTAGAATATCCATCCAAGAAACAGAAGAATTTGTGACTAACTAACTTATCCAACATTTGGTCAATGAATGGTAGAGGAAAGTGGTCTTTTTGAGTGCTTGCATTCAATTTCCGATAATCCATGCACACCCTCCACTCGATTACAGTGTACGTAGGGATTAATTCATTATGAGTGTTAGCCACTATAGTTATACCGCCCTTTTTAGGGACACACTAGACTAGGCTCACCCATGAACTATCAGAAATAGGATATATGATCCCAGCATAAAGCCACTTTAAGATTTCCTTTTTTACCACTTCTTTCATCACCAAATTCAATCTTCTTTGATGCTCTATCGAAGTCTTATGCTCATCCTCCAAGAAAATCTTGTGCATACATAGAGATGGGCTTATACCCTTAATGTCGGCTATGGTCTATCCAATAGCCCTTTTGTGCTCTCTTAGAACTCTCAATAATTTTTTCTCTTACAAATTAGTTAGGATATATGACACAATTACCGGCAATGAATTCTTTTCCCCAAGATACACATACTTGAGATGTGGAGGTAATGACTTCAATTTAAGTGTTGGAGGCTCCTCAATGGAAGGCTTAAGTGGGGATGCCAAAGCAGTTGATACATCAAGAGGCTCCATTGGGCTAAACCGCTTGGGTGGAAAAAAATTGATACTAAATATTCCCATGTACTCTTCTTCCTTCATTTCTATAATGTTCTTCTGTCCCAATATTAGAGCTTTCAAAGGGTCTTCAACCAAGCGACCATTAAAGTCTTCATGTATCACCTCATCAAGAATTCCCATATAACAGCATTGAGGAGATTCATTCAGAAACTTTATTGCCTTGCTCATGTTAAACACCACTTATTCTTCATTTAATCTTAGTGTAATCTCACCCTTTTCAGCATTAATGATGGTTCGGGCGGTAGCTAGGAATGGTCTCCCCAAAATGATAGGAATTTCCTAATCCACATCACAATCTAGGACAATGAAGTCTGCTAGAAAGATAAACTGATCTACTTTCACTAACATATCTTCAATAATCCCTCTAGGATAGGAAATGCTTTGGTCAGTGAGAAGGAGTGTCATTGTTGTCGGTCTTGCCTCTCCTAAGCCCAACTTGTTGAAAATGGCTAAGGGCATCAGATTTACACTTGCACCTAAGTCGCACAAGGCCTTCCCATCAAAATGTTTCCCAATATTGCATGGGATGTAAAAACTACCAGGATCTTTTAACTTGGGTGGAAGCTTTCTTTGTATGATAGCACTGCAATCTTCGGTCAATGCTACAATTTCAAATTCACTAAAACGCCTCTTCTTAGATAAGATATCTTTTAAGAACTCAGCATATTTGGGCATTTATTCTATGGCTTCAGTAAAAGGAATGTTAATATGAAGCTGCTTAAACATTGTTAGAAACTTCTTGAACTGAGTATCTTCCTCCTTAGCCTTGAATCTTTGAGGGAATGGAAGTGGGGGTGTTGTAATAGGAGAGGTAATTGATTTTCTCTTCTTTTCTTCCTTCTTCAATTCAACCTCGACATGTTCTCTTTCTTCTTTATTAAGAGGAGTTAAAACTCTTTCTTTCCCCTTTTTCTTCTTATCCTTTTTTTGTTTCTTGTTGTCATCATCTTTACATAATATTTCTTTATCCACCTCCTCACTATTATCAAAATTAGCCCTACCGTGACTAGTTACTCTTGGGTCTATCACATTAGGTAGAGTCTTGCCACTTCTCAAGTATATAGCATTGCATTCTTCCTTACCTTCCCTCTTTAGATTAGGGTTGGTGTCACTTGGTAAGCCTCCCCTATTCAAGGCATTCAGTTGTGCAGCAACTTGGCCCATTTGCACTTTAAGGCCCTTAATAGATGTATCATGCAAAGCTAAGGTAGCTTTATTCTTAGCCCAATCTGCCTCTTGATTCTTCAAAATTTGAGCCAACATTTACTCCATCTTAGAATCACCTTCTCTTGGTTTCTGTGTTGCGTCAAAACTAAGAGGATTAATCGACCTAGGCCCAGAGGATGAGATTGGATTTAAACTTTGCCCGTAATTTCATGAGAAGTTTGGGTGATTTCTCCACCTTGGGTTGTAGGTTTGCGAGTACGGGTTGTGTTGAGGAGGTCTCCGTGCATTATTCATGTAGCTTATTGTTTCTAAAGTGTAGGGGCAATGATCCAACACATGTCCTTCACCATAATGTTCACAAGCTTGAGATGAAGCTTGTAATGCATTTACCCTAGAAGAAGTCCCTCTTTTCATTTGAATCTCAAGACTATCAAATCTCTAATTTATCGCCTCTAATTGAGAAGTAAGCTCCTTAGAAGAGCTAAATTCTTGCGAACCTCTCCTAGCATGTCTTCTCTTATGGGATTATTGCATGGTACTAGAAGTAATGTCTTTATATAAGTTGTACAACTCATTAACCTTTATCTTGCCAATGCCGCCATTAGAAGCATTGTTTAACATGGTCACTGTTGCATCATTTAACCCATTCCAAAAAGCTTCCATAAGGACATACTTTTTTTGTTCATGATTAGGACAGCTTCTTACCAACTCCTTGAATCGTTCCTAAGCTTCATAGAAATGTTCCCCTAGTTGTTATTCAAAATTGAGAAGCTCACCTCTCAATGTTGCTCTTCTACCCCTCGGAATGAACCTTACCTTAAACTTAGCTATTAGGTCATCCCATGTTTCAATTGAATGTTCAGGAAGAGAATTCAACCAATCTCTGGCTTTATTTTTCAAAGATATTGGGAATAACTGCAACCTCAATGCATCTTTAGAGACATCATTTTGCTTGAAATTCTCGCATACCTTTATGAATCTTGCGAGATGATCATTAGGGTCTTCATCAGCATTACCCCCAAACTGTCCATACATTAGTATCATTTGGATCATGACTTGTTTAACCTCAAAGTTTCTAGCTTGAATTTCTAATAATCAGATACTAGAATGATAAGATTATGCTTCCTGGTCAAGAAAGTCATCCAGAGTAAAGATTTCATTCTCATCTTGATCAGCTCCCTTCATATTGTTACCAAGAGGAGGAATGTCTTCTCCAAATTCAAGAGCGGCTTCCTCACTTGTTTCACCTTCTTCTTCAACCACTCCTTCAAGAATAACTTCAAGTTTACCAGGAAAGAGTCCTTGCATGTGTAAAGAAGGTACCTACAAGGTGAAACCAAGGAACAAGTATCAAATTTATCGATAAAATTTAAAACTATAAAATCTGTGAAAGCTAACTAAACTACCTATACGTATGAAAATATTAAACAAAAAGCTCAAGTGTAACATATTAACACAATAGGAAAAATTAACCAACACAAAACAATTGCCGCTTTAATTTCCCTAGCAACGGCGCCAAGAACTTGTTCGCTGTCAAGCATTACCGCAATCATACAAGTCGTCACAAGTGTAGAATATTCCAGAGTTATCGTCACGAGGATTTTTGGCAAATGAGGGTTGAAGTTCACTATCAAGCTTTGAGCTAAGTCGAGCCAAATTGAAAGTATTTCTTTTCATGTGAAAGTAAAAAAAAATTGATTAAAATAATTTTAAAGCAATTAAAACTTGTTAAAACTTTGACTTTTGGAGATGAGGAACTAGGATTATCCCTCCCCTTTGTATTTCATAGAATTTAAATTAAATCCTCTCTAATATATTTTTAATGAAAATAAGTGTTGGTCTTAAGATTCTAATTCACTTGAAGAAGCTTTCTCAAGTCAAAATCAAGTATATTTGAAAACACTAAAATCCCTTGAAAATAATTAGTGCGAACAAATTTTAAGCACCAATCTTAATGTGACTATAAAGGGTTAATAAAATATCTCTATTTTACCAACAAAATCATCCATTTATCTTTGTAAAATTTCAAGTCCAAAACTATTTTATCCAAGTTCTACACCTAAATTAGCTCTCTCTAGCACAACTCAAGTGAATAAAGCAATATAAATGGTGATCAAGTACTTAAAAGCATTAAGCATGGGAAAAAATAAACACATATATATCATTAACTACCAAAAGAGAGGGATATTCAAGTATTAATCCATATAACAAAGGGTTGAAATAATCCTAGAACAAGGGAACTAGCTACTCATGTTCAGAAAAGAGCCATAAATATTACAATATATAGCATCCATATCAAAAACAAAGAGAGAAAAGGAAGAGAAGAAGAAAAACCGAAAGAGATCCACTTAAATCTCTTTAAATCTTCAATCCTTGGCCAAATCTCCTTCAAGAACCCCAAACCCTAGCAGAGAAAACTTCCAAGAATCTCTTTAAGTCATGCTCCCCCTTCTGCAGGTGCGTTTATGCTTTTTCTGCCCTAACTTTTTTCGTTCTGAAGCTCAAAACCCGCAGTAGAATTAAGGCCATGAGTCGCGGGATGTTGACAGTGCGCCGCGACACATGTGGCAAAATGTGAATTTGCGTCGCGGTGTGTTGACAGTATGCCGCAGCGCACATACATCTTCAGGACTCCAGTCTCTATGCCACATGCCGCAGTATATGCACACAGAGTCTCTATTTTTTTTTTTGACTTCCATTTTTCTGCTATTTTTCTTCCATATGCATCTTCAATCATTGTTTGGCTCTATTTCTTTAAAAATATCTAGCAAAAATCACCTAAAACAATAAATAAGGTTATGAGATCTTTTAAAGTTTAAAATCAAAGTCAGCATATTTGCAAATTTTTCAATAAACTCTATTTTCTATGTCAATTTGAAATGACGCTCATTTTCCTATATTTAATCCAAAATATTCATAATTGATCTAATTTAGCACATAAAGAGTAGGAAAATGCACTGAATTGGCATTAATTTAAATAGGTTATCACTTAGATTCCTTGACAATGGCACCAAAAACTTGATGCATACAAATATGTTTTACCGCAAGTGTACAGTTTGTAATTAGTAAGTGGCAAATTAAGGTCAATCCCATGAGGAATCAAGTTAATTGTAATTAGGAAATAAAGTCTCCATTTTCATTTAAGTTGAGCAAAGGAAGATATGGATTTGATTTTTGCAAAATAAGGATTGAAATTAGAAAAATGCACTAAAATTAAAATCCCAACAACCATAAATAAGCAAGGCAATCTAGGGTGGTTAATCCCTTTTTCAATTCATAGAGCATGTAATTACCTAAATAAATTCACTTAATATTAATTTGTTAGTCTAGAGTATTAATAGGAATAATTATCTTCCGATTAATTACGCCCCTCTCTTGAATTAATATGCTATTCCTAACACAATTACCTAAGAGGAAAAATGCATAAGTCTACTTTAATGTGATTATATGGGTCCAATAAGTATTTCCTATTCTATTGGCAAATTAGAATAAATTCTAATCTCATATTACTCAATCTAATGGTCTAATTCAGATTTTCCTCTTCCAAGTCAAAACCTAAACCCCCAAATTCACACTCAATGGTGATCAAGTATTAAGTAGACAAATAAGCACAAGATTAAGTAAACAAAACTAATATTAAGCTCAAATAAATAGTTGAAACATGCTCTAATCTAAGAATCAGTTCATAGCTACTCTAGATTAAGAGAAAATCAGCTACAGATGGCTTTCATGACAGAAAAATCAATAATATATACAGCAAAGTAAAGAGAAGAAGAAGAAAAGCTTAATTAGATCAATTTTGAGCAAAACTCTTGATTTTCCACCAAACCCAAGCTTCTCCAACCCTTCTTTGGCTCTTTTCCCTCTTCTTGGACATTTTGCAGTGGCTGGAGGTGAAGAATGCATGAAAATGAGGTGTACCCAAGCCCTAAAAATTTGTTGAGAGTCAAAACTGTGCATTTTACTAAAATCATGCTTTGCGGCGACGAAGCGTGTTTTCGTTACAGTGAACATGACCTATTCAAACTTTCTTTTCAAATTTAATTTCTTTGACTTGGGCTCCAAAATTTTCTTCTTTGGACCCTAAATTAGGCTTGCCTACATGCATAAAATCTAGAATAAATGATAGAATTGGTCTACTAACTTTTAACATATTTCTAAGCCCATTTTCACACACATTCATCCACTTAATCATATTTTTGCTAACAAAATTCAAATAAATAACTTCCAATTACATTAAAAACACCAATAAATTCAATAAAATATTGGAAGTCATCAATGCATGTGTGTTTTGGGCTGGGTTCTGATTCAGTACTTTTATATTATTATTGTCGTTGTTGTTGTTGTTGTTGTTGTTGTTATTAAGGGTAAAATAAGGATTTTACTAAAGTAAAAAAATAAATATCCTACTTTTTAGTTTGAGGATTCGAAACAAGCACCAAAGATTAAACAACAATAAAATTTCCACTAAGCTTTTATGCTTTTCTTGCTATATTTGGCCCAAAATAAAATAAAATAAATACATTTAAAATTCCTCATTATAAATTTTAAATTTTCACTTAAGATTTTGGGTCTTTACAATAATAGTAGTATAATTAAATAATTATGAAACAAATCAAAATTTCTAAAACAAATTAAAAAGAATGAAGAATTTTTTTTTTTATATATTCAAGTCTAATGAGAACATTTCTTATAGCTTATTCAAAATTACATACCAAAGTTTTTAATTTTAATAATAATTTTCAAGGTTTTTAATTTTAATAATAATTTTCTAAATCATTATAGTTGGATGGTATTTGCTAGTGAAGATGTTGGAACTAATTTTTTACCCCACACATGCTTGATTTTTACTAAGGGAGAATAAGTTCAAAATACTGGATACTAACAGCAATTTTGTTAGCCCTTGGTGTGCCATGGTACACCTAGCTGGTAAGGTATTTCTAGAATGTGCTAGCCCTATGCATGCGCCAATGCAAGTGGAACAAAGAGATGGATATTCATGAGCATTGTATTCACGCATGTTTCGTGGCTTCTAACCATGTTTGATTATTTCATAGCTTTAAGTTGTACTTATTGGTTATTTACTCTTGTGGATTGTGTGTCTATACTTGATTAGTTATTTGCTCTGGTGAACTGTGTGTCTACGCTTTTGTTCTAATAAAGCCCTCCTAGATTATAATTAAAAATTCATTAGCATTCTACCTAATTGTATTGTTACTTAAATTTTTAAATTTTATATTTTATGTGTACGTAAATTATGATGATTTACATGATTCTGTTAGCATTGTTAAATTTCACAATTGAACCATTGAGCAAACTTTTTCTTATTGTTAGTTCTAGAATGTATATATATCTTTTAAAATTTCATTAAATTGTGTAAATTAAATTTATTAGTTCTATTTTCATAAATTTTATTATAATTTTTAATTAGAACGCTACTCGCCAAAAATTTCTTTGATCTTAGATATTGTACCTAACCCTGCGCCTCTTGGGAACCATTGAGGGATCCTATTACGTTTGTTGAAAAAAAAAGCACATGGTGATTATCCTTTTTGATAAAACTTTGTATTTTATTTTATATATTGTAAGTTAATGCTCCACGTATGATATAGTTAGATCTTGGCCTTATTTTGTTATTATGTAAATTGTTGGAATGGAGATAGTCTTCTTGGTGGTCAAGTTAACAGGTTGTGTTTGTGAAAATTTCAGGAGAATCAATTTATAGAGTAGATTGTGCCAAAATTTCAAAACAAAAAACTCTTTACTAACGATATTATTATATATAATTTACATATATTGATATTTTAATTTAATATCTGGTTAATCAAAGCTTATGAAAAATGAGTTACCTCATATTCTATGCCAATCATACCCTTACTATTGGGGTGTGACATTTCCATTAGTTTTATAATTTGTTGTTATATGGTCACTTTATTCTCACTTTATTACTTTGCCACTAAAATATCTTTTAAGAAAGGTTTTCCTCTCTTAAATATGGGGATCTTAATGAAAGATTTACATATATTTTTTTGCCAACCTTTGAAACATATTTTTTGTAAATAAATCTTCTTAATTATGTAATTCCATAACTACTCAATACTTTGTCAACCACTAAAACTCAATATGTGAAAAGAAAAAAATTAGATACATTGTATTGAAAATTAAATAAGTTTCGCTTCTATGATTAAAAATCATCTTCAAAAGAGGCATACCTAACCTTAAACTAATCTTCACATACAAAGACATGGAGAAGAAGGATACGACCGTGCGCAGATGTGAGAGCAAACAGGTGATAGAAGCTGATTTAGAATCCAAATGCAAAATTAAACAATATCTTACAAAATTAGACGAGTTAAGATGGAAATTAGAGGCCAAAAGGGTGAAAAAAAGTTATAAATTAAATAAAGCCCCGGAAGACTTCTAGGAGCGTTGAAGTTTAGATCTGAAACTTAGAAGGCAATTTTAGAGCATCAACCAAGGGCTTGAAGGCTAGAATAGAGATTGAGGAGTCATTGTGGAGCATCCTCTAAGGATTTTTATAGATTCTCTTCTTCTACTCTATGTTATTAATTCTTTACGTTGTTTATGAATTATTTTTCATGTTTAGAGCCATGAATGGCTAATTTTCTTTTATCCTTGGGGATTTTATGAAACTTTAATGCTTTATGGGTAGATTTCTATCTGGTTACTCGATTTTGATGAACACTTTAATGCTTAATAAGATTTGGTTTTATTCTCTTGCTATTGGAAGCTACTTTATTACTATTTGGATCTTAGTTTTCACCTTCGATAGAAGATAATCTCAAATAGACTATGCATTAAGCAACTTATGATTAGAATTGGATTTAATCTAATTTGAGCTTGAGAAATATACTCAAGAGCCCTAGGTAATATTTTAAGGCTTGGGTATAATTGGATCAAGACTTGCTTGAGACATCATAGTATAATTAGATTACAGGTTTTGTAATCAACAAACACATAATCTAATTTAGATCCCTGATTTTAAAGTAAATTTAAAACATGATAACCAAAAGAAATTGAATTGCTAACTATAAAAGGAGATTAGAATTCTTAGGGAGCTCTTCAATTGTTGATCTTAACTCGGATTTATTCTTCGGCTTTGTTTTTATTTTATTCGTATTTTTAAATTTAATAAAAAAATTCACTTTTAATTCGATAACTTATCTAAAACAAAAACTTTTGCCAAACTTTGAAACATGTTTTTTGTAAATAAATCTGATAAATTAAGTTATTCCATAACTACTCATAAATCTTTGCCGTCCACTAACATTAATCATATGAAAAACAACAAAATTAGATGTATTTTATTTTGAAAATTAAATCAATTTCACTTTTGTGAGTAAAAATCATCCTCAAAAGAAGCACACCTAACCCTAAACTGACACTCGCATGCAAAGATACATGTATACATACCTTCCTTCTAAGAGTTTTTTTTTTTTTTAACCAACTTCTTCCAGGAGGTTATTCACAAATCATTGGTCAAATAATTCACAAAATAGAATAGGGTATTAAACGAATTGACTTATTTGTAAAGGTTTGTGTCTCCAAAGACAAAACCCTAAATTGTTTTACATACACATCATTCTTCTACTATAGATATTTTGGTCACGAGATTTTTTTTTATGGCTCCTTCATTGAGCTCATTACTGGTTATAGTATATTATTTACGATAACATGCATGAAAATGCCTTTCTATGTCGATCATTTTTTGTCAATATATTAAATAATCAATGCAACCAATTGGATGGTGTCATTATTGTAATTTAAAAGGGAAAGAAAATAATTTCACAACACACCTATTTGTACTTGTTTTAAACGATATGCCATTTTCGAAACCCATGCCAACTTTGAGGAACAAAACTTGACAATCCCATGTGAGATGGAAATACAAATGAATTTACACGATTATTTTGTAGAGAATTCAAAGTCAGACATACAATAATCAAGATGTAAAATAACTTAATTACATTAATGCCCTTCAATTATCTCCGCCTCTCTCGTCATCGAACATCTAATAATAATAATAATAATAATAATAATAATAATAATAATAATAATAATAATAATAATAATAGACATCTTAACCATTAGAAAAAGTCCAAAAAAACAAAAATTACTCAATAATAAACCTATATTACTCAACCCTATGAAAAAAGGCATTGCATGCATGTGAACATATTACAATTTGAAGAATATACATATACATATACATGTATGTATGCATGTATGTATGCATAAAAATGAAAATGAATATATGATGTCAAATAACCATTGATATACCTTTGCTGTGTCATTGATTTTGGGAAGAAAAGATTAACAAATGATAATGAAAATTCAATAAAGAATATATCATGAGTCCTATATAGGCAAGCCTCATAAGTGGAGTGGGGTTAGTGTGAGGAATTCTTTCTCCAAACAGGCCAGTATTTTGGAATGAGATTTTTCTTTGAATTTGCGCTCATGACAACATCTAGATTATCTCCATCCTCAATGCCAACATAAATTATATTAGGCTTCACGTTCTCAGCAATTAGCATACATTGTCATGAACATCAAAACCAAAGACTTGTGGGTTTGTAATAGACTAGAAACATGTTGCCAGTCATGACTGCATGACTAGCCGTCGCAACCACCCTAGATGCATGGTTTGGCTTGAAATCATAGATGAATGAATAGGACTTTGTTTCTTTGTGAGAATTCCATGCGTGTTAGTAACAGAGGTGGTTAATATTTCAGGTTTGGTTGCATGAGGAACCCTTGGATCAATCTGAGTAAACCCACAAAACACACATTTTAGTGATAAGGATGTATTTGAAAAGTATAAGCAACTTGAAAGTCTATTGTATTAGATGTATGATAGTCCCATATTGAGTAATTAGAGAATTAATTACAACTATATAAGTGTGTGGTAAGTTCTTCCAAAGCAACTTAAACTATTTTGGTGTAATAAGACAAGTCTTAGTTTGTGTTTATTGTAAAATGCTAACATATAGCTGGTTATAACACATTAACTTAGTAGATTGAATAGATTTAAAGCAAAATAAGTGGAAGGCATAAAAATTTCTCACTCCTGAGTCAGGAATCGAGCATAGACTTCACCAGGTTTTGATTCCACCTACAAAATTAGTCATTCCACTTAGAACTTACAAGGCCCAACTTACAAACTTTCTATTAAATTAAAAAAAAGTCATTATTATTGATTAAGTAATAACATAAACATGACAAAACTAGGAAATTAATTGGATGGTTTGCTTGAACCTCTTTTGCTAGTCTCAGTCCTGCCGCTTTGGTCTTCAACAAAAGGGAAGATTATCAGATTTTATAAATTTATGTTGTTAAAGAAAAATCAGATTAATATGATCACAAAACAATATCAAATGATGTTAATTTGTTGTATGTGCTCGTAGCATGGAAATGATTTATCTAATTAGCTTACATGATCAATGAAATATTATATCATCCAGAATTATTTGCAGAGAAGAATCAAAAGATGTTATAAAGGTTTAACCATATGCTTATATATATATATATATATATACCAAATTAAATTAAAATGGACATTAATGTACCTTTGGTATATCGTTGATTTGATAGGCATAGTTCAACACACGCCATAATACTGAATGATATTTTTATCCCCTTTATCTTCATCATCATCGTATGCTTTGTCAGACTTCATGGGTAACAATGAGTGTGAAAACAAAAACCCACACAGTCAATTAGTTTTTTTCCCCTTAAATCAAGCCAATCATAAATGAAGATAAAACACTAAGCAAACAAAAAGATTAGTGAAAAAACAAGACAAAACTTTTGCTAACAAAATCAGAAAAACTTGAAGCAAAAAACTAACAACTTTAAGGGAAAAAAATTCTTATTTTGTTTATAAAGATTGTTGAAATTGATTTAGCCCACCACGCTGGTGAAGTTTTTTCATTTTTTGTGCCCCAAATACTGGCTTCTAGTCAATCCTTGTATGCCAATTGATAAAATCTAATGCCAGAAATCGATCATGACCCAAAATAACTTAAAGCAGAAAGCAAAAGCACACCAACAAAATTTCAAAGAGGAAACTTTTAGATCATAATTAACCATCGTCACGATAGAGATCGAATCATGAGCTTGCAAAACCCACACCTTGAACTCACCAGCCATGAAGCGTTTCATACTGGATCTAAATAAAATTACAATGTTCGAAAAGTTTAAGCAAAACATACCTCCATCGCAACTCAGGGAAGCCAGATCTGAGTGATCCACCATGAGATTGCAAATCGAAGAGATGATCCATTACCATCCAAGCACTTTCGTTAGCCGGAAAACAAGCGCGCCTACTTCAAACCCCCCACATTGAGAACACAAGGGAGAGAGTAACCTAGATCCACCGGTCAAAAACGCAAGACGAACAAGAATCTCTCTTACAAAAAGAGAGAATTAAAAGGGGACCCGACCCTTTGCCACAAAAACAATTAATTTAATATTATCGTTTTCTCAAGCGAATTTTTATCAATAACATGTAAATAAACTGCTATAAGAAATGTGTGCCTCTGCACGTTCGAGGGTGTGAATAGGTGATTGTATGTTTGCGTGTGTGGGTGTGAGAGGGGAGAGGATTCTCTCCTCTTCCTTCCCATCCTCTTCCCCTCCTCTTCTTAATTTCTAACCATTAAATTAAAATTTTGAATGATCCAGATTTGATCTCCTTCAAAACATATCATTTTATTTTATTTTCACTGTATTTTTAAATTTTTTTATTAAACTTTAGGATTTTGAATTTTATTTTTTACAATTTAATATTGTAATAATAATTTTATAGGATATCAAATCTAAACCATCTAAATCTTGATCTAATAGCTAAAAAGAGAAAAGAATGGAAGAGGAAGGGAAGGAAGATGAGAGAATCCATTCCCGTGTGAGAGAGGGAGAGGGAATAAGTTCAGGTCTAGGTCCTTTTCTAATGATTAATTATTAATTATAGAGTAGCATTTAAATTTTCAATTATATAATGTATCTAATTCCCCCTTTCCTTATGTTGATGAGTGTCTGCTGATGCTAATGCCAATGGATAAGGAATTATGAGTAGTTACGGAATGGCATATAATGAAAAAGATTTAACCAAAAGTTTTGGAAAAAAATAAAATCGCTTTTCTAAAAGGTAAATAACTTTAAATCTGGACATTAGAATTGTATTGTTTACATGCTCCTTTATTCTCTAAAATATGCACAGACGAGAACAATAATATTCATTTCTAGCTTATTACTATTGTCTCACTCCATTCTTTTGCATCTAAAGCATTAAATATACAAAATTAATAAATATTATTAATTTATATACATTGGGAAAAAAAATCTAGCTAAAAATTATTTGTTTATACCAAATGCATCAATGAATCCTTGATTTTGTTTAATGAATATCATTATGGTAGTATAGATACAAAGTAAATCCATGTGGTCATTCTTTATTGTCATCGTCGTCGTTGTTGTTCTGATAAGGATGTGTTAGTCTTTTATGATTGGAGGACAATCTCAAAGTCTTTTACACATATATGAATGAAAGTGATTAGAAAACTACTCTAGCCTACTCCGTTACTCCTCTCTAAAATTTACTCATTCTGTTATTGTTTCTTTCTTTCAAATTTCATTACTTTATCACTAAAATATTTTTTAATAAAGGTTTTTCTCTCTTAAATACAGGATCTTAATGAAAGATTTGCATATGTTTTTGGCCAAAACATATTTTTTGTGAAGAAATCTTAATTATTTTATTTCATAACTAGTCATAATTCTTAAGGCATCCACGAACACTCAACATATGAAAAGGAAGAAGATTAGATACATTGAATATAATCCGAAACATTGTATATTTCAAAATTAAATTTGTTTTTCTATCATAAAATCATCCTTAAAAGAGGCACACCTAATCCTAAACTGATCTTCAGTTGCAAAGATACATATATACAACTTTATTCGTGCGGGTTATTTGCAAAATTCTAAATTATGAATCATTATTTGGCAATGGAAGTGATCTCTACCATAAGTGTATGGGATTGATTAGTAATAAAATCCTAGAGTATTCTACTTGATCACTCCCGCAAGTACACGTGATTGATATAGTAATAATTTTCATATTTTTTTTTTGGAATAAAACCCAGAGAAAAGCATTTAACTTTGTTATTTAGAAAAACAAATATTTGAAAAAGGGATTTATATTTAATTAATGCAAAATAAAGAACAACGATAAAAATAGAAAACCAACCAACCAACCAATCAAACGTTAGGGATTGGGATTCACCTATTGGGATGGCTTGCTCTAAATTAATTATGTTATTTTTCCTTATTTATAATGACAATTGTTTGTAAGGTATTCTAATTACCTTTCACTATATTAGTGTGTATTTATCTAAGAATGAATTACCTCCCACTAATCTTATTGAGACTTTGAATGAACCGTTAAGCTACGATCTAAGTTATTATAAATCCTAAATTATTCTTAATTTAGTTACTGTGTCTATCATTCTAAGTCTAAATTAGTTCTTCACCTCCCGGTTTATATTATATAATATGTGATGTTTTAGTTTTAACATGTCCCTGGGAACTTTGATTTCATTTGTATATAATTTATTACATAATGTAGTTTTCAAATCTTGTTTTGGAAATGGTATCCCATTTGGTGAACCTTTTTATTTTAATTAATTACTATTTATCATGGTAGGTCTGTTTGGTAAATTTAATTCTTCCTAACATAATAGAATCCTTTCTATCATGATTATCGATTTTGAAATGGTTTTATTTAATTAAAGGAAACCTTTTTCTACCATGGTATAATTTTCTTTAAACAGGTTCAATTATTTTCTACTATTGTAAACTCCCTTCTACCATGGTAAGTTTTCCAAAAAGAAAAAAAGTCCCATCTATGTCCATGGTGGGTTTTAATAAATATTGTTTTTAAAAAAGTAGAGTGTTACAATATATTTATGCCACTCCACTCTGATAAACACTTCAGATAATTATATACGCAGATAATTATATACGACCTCAACAAATCTAATATATCGAAATTGGGAAAATTAGTTGTATAAAAAAAAAGAAATTGGGAGAGTTGGTTGCATTTTAAATAGGGAGAATCAATTCAAGCACCACACAAAAAATTTATTTATAGACAAGAATTAATGCAGAATGAATTGTTGTTAAAATAAGAATATGAACTTGTTGTTTCTTGAATGAGGCTTATTATTTATTGTCTATGAATAAGTTTATTGAACATGGACATTTATTTTGATTTAACAGTAAATTTAATTGTTTAGGATATAAAATATAATAAATATGAGTTTAGAGTTTAAATCATCCCTAAACATATATTTTAGGGTCTGAATTGTGTAGTAATCCTATTATAATTTAATCTTATTTTACTTTTAAACTCTATTAACTTGGATAGTTTATTAATTTTAATATTTTTTGTAAAATATTTCTTTGAATATAGATATAATTAATTATTTAAATTCTTTAAAAAGGGAGAAGATAATTAGATCATGAGGAAAAATTAAATCAATAATTTGAAATTTTTTTGGACATAATTTCAATTAATAATTAATAAAATTAAGTATCTTAGAATATTTAATAGATTATTTTAAAAGGCATTAAAAGAAAATTAAAATGTAAATTTGTTCACCGTTAAGCATTACTGCAAGTATACAGGTCGTCACAAGTATAGAATATTCCAGATTTATCGTTTCCACAAGGATTTAGGCAAATGAAGGTTAAAATTCACTATTAAGCTTTAAGATAGGTTGAGAAAATCAAGAGTGTGTTTGTGTGAAAGTAATAAAAATTGGATTAATATTGTTTTAAAGTAATTAAAACTTGTTGAAACCTGCCTTGACCTTTAGAGGTGAGAATCTAGGATTATCTCTCCCCTTTATATTTCATAAGACTTAAATTAATTCCTCTCAAATAGATTTTTAATAAGAATAAGTGTTAGTCTAAGATTCCAATTCACTTAAAGTTTTTTCAAGTCAAAATCAAGTACATTTGAAAACACTAAAATTTCACAATCTCTTAAAAATAATTAGCAAAAACAAATTTTAAGCTCCAATCTTAATGTGACTATAAAGGGTGAATAAAATATCTCTATTTTACTAACAAAACCATCCATTTAACTTTGTAAATTTCAAGTCCAACATTATTTTATCCAAGTTCTACACCTAAATTAGCTTTCTCAAGCACAACTCAAGTGAACAAAATAATCTAAATGGTGATCAAGCACTTAAAAGCATTGAGCATAGGATAAAATAAATACATATATATCATTAACTATCAAAAGAGAGGAATATTTAAGTTTTTTCATACAAATGTTTGAAATAATCTTGGAACAAGAGAACTAGCTATCCATGTTCAGAAAAGAGCCATAAATATCACAATATACAGCATCCATATCAAAAACAAAGAGAGAAAAGGGAAGAGAAGAAGAAAAATCAAAGGAAATCTACTTGAATTTCTTTAAAACTTCAATCATTGGCCAAATCTCCTTCAAGAACCTTAAACTCTAGCAGAACAAGCCTCAAGGAACCTCTCAAAATTGTAGCTCCCCTTTCAAAGTGCAAGAATTTTGCATATGTAACCCTAGCTTCAAGTTCGATTAAAAAATGCACAACTTTAATAAAAGGCTTTTGGCTATGGCCAATTCTTTCTTGGCTGCAGCCAAAACCTCTTGGTCAGGATCTCTTGAGTACAGCCAATTCTTCCTTAGCTACAGCTAAAAACTCTCGGTCAAGACTTCGATTGCAGCCAATTCTTCCTTAGCTACAGCCAAAATGTGTCAGCAATATGCTATCTCTAACTTTCGGCTGAGACCGAAGGTACTTGGGCTAAGGCTTAATTCTTCACTCTTTGTCTTGACTTTTTCTTAATGTAATAACTTCATAACTCCTTCTTTACTCCTCAAATAATGCTCCACCAACCTAAGAAAGCAAGAAATTTTGTGAATCCAAGATTAATTATACTAAGATAAAGAATTATGCACAATTTACACAAAGATTTTGTCATTTAAACCCAAGTGTAAGATATGCACATTTTCCTATTATATGTACCAAAAGCATGCACAATTTCATCAAAAAGCTTATGAAATTGTAAGAAAATGCACTGAGATGACATAAATTTTTATAGGTTATCAAATTTTAAAAAATAAAGATAAGGTCTTTGTAAGTTCTGTAAAATTAAAATGAGGTAATTATATTTTACTTTGATATTTTTATTTAATATTTTTTGATCAATTAGGAGTCAACATTAATTAACTTTTGTTAATGGTAGGAGTTAGATTGCATTATTTTTAAAAATTGAAGGAG